AGCATAAACAATTTAAAAACAATTTACATGCTTAAATCAACTAATGGGCAATAAAATTGATAGTTAATGCAATTGCGATACAGTGTTTTAATAATTACTATGCCTTACAATTATTACCACATGTTATGTACTATGCTTGTGCACTTGAAATTTATAGCCCTTAAAGGGTATCTTTACCCAAATTTGACATACTTATTTTATGGCCTTAATCTGATTACCTAACCATAATGATGTTTTTCAAATCCTACTGTCTAAAAATAATTATTTACTGAGATATGAGCCTTCAAAGTCATGAAAAATGTTGAGATTTTGCTTCCTGCAATGTTACTTCCTGTCGAAGGGTGTGGCTAAACGTGACGTCATAGTAGGAATGTTTGCAGATAACTCCATTCCTTTATAGGGGGAAATGATCCTTTATTTTCATGCCTTGTAATGTAATAGCTCCAATTTAAAGATGAAATCATTAGCTCTCGTTATTCTAAGCATGCAATTGCAAAAAAAGCCTCAGAATAGCAAAAAAGAAAATTCACCAAAGTCTTCTTGTAGTTGCATGCTTAGTATAATGAAAGCTAATGATCCCAATCTTTGAATTAGTGCTATTATATTACAAGGCATGAGAATAAAGGATCTTTTCCCCCCTATAAAGAAACGGAGTTATTTGCAAACATTCCTACTATGACGTCACGTTTAGCCACACCCACCGACAGGAAGTAACATTGCAGGAAGCAAAATCTCAACATTTTTCATGACTTTGAAGGCTCATATCTCAGTAAATAATTATTTTTAGATAGTGGGATTTGGAACACATTATTATTATGGTTAGTTAATCATATTAAGGCCATAAAAAAGTATGTCAAATTTGGGTAAAGATACCCTTTAAAGAATGAGTGCCCTACAGTATATGCTAATTTCTGTGTATATTATTAGTAATTTTGAATTAGTAATTGTATAGCTAAATTAGTGGAATGAAATTTTGGCAAATTGTGGACTCCAATTTTATAGGTTATCATAGAACGATAGACAGAGATTAAATTTCACCAAAATTTCTACCTCCAAACCTCTATTTAAGTCAATTTGCCAAGTTCTAACTCTAGCTATATGGTTGTTAGGCTTATTTACTAATTAAAAACTTGTGAATTGCCACTGTTATTATCATTATCATTCACTCAGGTTCCTCAGAGTAGTAACAGTTCTCAAGAACAAACTCAAAATGACACTCAGGTATGTACAGTATTTTCTATTATTGGCATAATTGTCATTTTTAAGTTCCTTATTTGGCTTAGTTGTAATTGTTGCATCAGATGGCTAGATGTACATGTATGTGTACAAGTAGTTTATACACTAGGCATGTCGGCTGTAAATCTACCGTATAGCATATATATTTTGTGGATAATAAATAAGTTTGCAAATTTCGCAAATTGGCAAAATTTGTGAAACTTTTGTCCGCAAAAAATTTACTATTAATTAAATAGGTGGTACCTTGTGGACCAGAAGCCACACCTTGAATTTAGAACAGCTAATGCATTTAAAAAATGTCTACTGCTAGCTTGTTTAAGTATTTCAAGATGACTGACCCAAGTCAGACCACTACCTAATCCTGACGAAAATATTTCATCAAAAGTACCTTGGCACGTCCACTATGATTGCATTAATTTTCTTATATAAAACACTGCAAATGCTTGGAAACAAGCGTATTAGTGAAAAGAAATTCCTAAAATTGTTTTCACCATCGTATGTTTATCGCTCACGTATATTATTCATAGCATCTGACTATTATTATTTAAACCAATATTTATTCTGATTTTATGCGTGCACATTTAGACACACATAAGTACTAACACATAACACAAAGTTAATATTCACGAACAAACATAATTATCATGCATATTATTATTGATCTTATCACCACTTTAAAGAGCGAGATTATATTGATCTAATTATCACTCTGAAGAGCATAATTTTATTATCTTCACTCCAAAGAGTAGGATTATATTGATCTTATCATCACTCCAAAGAGTAGGATTATATTGATCTTATCATCACTCCAAAGAGCTAGATTTTTATAATAGATTTTGTTTGAAGCTAAAGCTAAAGTCCTAAATATGGTACAGTTTAATGATAAGTATGGCTGTCCAACCTGCCTATAACCAGGAGTGCATCGAAACAATTGCCATTTATGCCTACCAGGTTCATTGTATAGTTTGCGAACTTTAGAGGCAATTGAAAAAGCTCAAAGTAAAGGTGAAAGTAGAGGTGAAATCGTGGAAGGGATAAAGGGTACATGTACTTCTGTATTGCATGACCATGTACATGTACATCTATTTGATGCTACACCTCCTGATTATATGCATTGCGTCTTAGAAGGTGTGACTGAATCTTTATTGACTTTTTGGACTCTTTCAAAATATAGTAGCAAACCTTTCGCCATAAGAAGAGACTTACATAAAGTAGATGCCACATTGAGGAAACAAACATCACCAACAGTAGTCACAAGATCTCCACATTCCATAATAAATGATCTTTCTTACTGGAAAGCCATTGAATTTAGATCATGGCTTTTTATTTTATTCTCTTCGTCTTTTGTATGCTGTCCTGCCTCCTTTGTATTTCCATCACTTCTCTTCTCTTCTTGTGTGTGCAATGCATATTTTATTGAAGAAGAATATTTCATTTACTGAATGTGGAGTAGCGGAAGAATTGTTGATTGATTTTTACATCCTTTTACCAGATCTATTATGGAGAGAATAGCTGCACTATTAATGCACACACTTTAACACATCTGGCTCTTCAGCCTACAGCATCATATTAAAAAACTCAGTAGCAGTGTATCTTGTGAAATTAGGATTTTTGATAGGCTACTTTTAATAATTTCTTTTTGCATACATACAAGTGTCATGATGGGGTTGGGAAATTTTGTAATGCATATTGTTGTTACAAAGATGGTTCATCTGAAATGTGGGGAGAAATTTGTATGCTAGCTGAATGTTTACCTATTGGCACCATTGCCTTCATTAAACCTTTGCAACCTACCTCAACAAATACCGTATTTCCTTAAATAGAAGCCGCATTCGAATAAACGCCGGGGTAGCAATAGAATTAAACTATAAATACGCAACACCAGCCTAGGAGTGACTCAGTAGTCTAGTGGGCAATGCCTGAAGTTCCAGAAGTCAAAAGCTTGAGGCTACGGGTTCGAATCCCGCTCTGGGCCAAAGTTTTTTTTATTTTTTATATATTTTTTGGAGGTCCAAGTATCATTTTAGGAAATAGACGCCCGGGCTTTTATTTAAGGAAATACGGTACATGTATATTGGCATTATCTGGTCAGCCTTGTCGGGATGTTCTTGAATTCTATACACAACATTCTATTATTTCACAGTTCATAATTGAAATTGACACCAGCATTGATCTTCTGATTGTAGCCATTATAGTTACAAATATAACTACTAACTGTGCCATTGTTAGACCTATGAACATTATTGATAATGCTATAATTATTATGTCCATGCAATATGTATGTATATATAATATAGTATAATTTTCAAAAAGTTGCAATCTGAATGTTTTAAACATTTGCTTCTAGCTTATATTATAGCAAGTGAAAAATACTAATCGTTTTAATAAGATATTATGTGATATATAATAATTATTGTCTTTGCATAGTCTGGATTCCCACATTTTCGTCTAGAGTTGCTCTTGCTACATCTCTCACGATCATGCAACATTATGTTATGAGATCTTACTACAAATTGTTATTGTCTAATCTTACATGATTCAGAGACTATACAAGATCTTATCTTTTCTTGAATACAATATTTCTTACGAAGTCAGACAAGATCACTTAAGTTAAATCTACACATGATCTTATGGGATCTTAGCCTTGAATATAATAATGTGATATTGCATGATCTTACTTGATTTACATAAACATAAGATCTTGTCTTTTCCTGCATATAAAATGATACAAAATCAGAATAGATCATTTAATTTAAATGTACACATGATCTTGTGAGATCTTACCGTAAAACAATAATAATGTGATATTGCATGATCTTACATGATTTAGAATAAACACAAGATCTTGTCTTTTCTTGCATATGAAACGATACAACATTTCATAAAAATCAGACAAGATCTTCTAAGTTAAATGTACACATGATTTTAGGAGATCTTACTAAAAATTGTAATAATGTGATATTTTATGATCTTACATGGTTTTCATACTATGCAAGATCTTATCTTTCTTTTGAAATGTGATCTTATGAGATCACACAACTTCCCCAATCCTTAAAAAATCATGAAAAATTCCAGTTAGGATTTCACAAGATTTTGCAAGGCAAGATTACACAAGAATTTTAATCTTGCAATTTCTTTTAACATCCTAAAATATCAATGATTATCTTGTAAGATCTTGCTGGGAATTTTTACAAGGGCCCAGAGACTCCGAAATTAGTACAGATGTGCGGAGAACCCGTTATGGAACTATACTAAGTCTCAAGTTGCTAGCATTAATAACAAAAAGTTATAAGGGTGTTTCACCTGTCAAACTCAACTGAAACATAGTCTGTCTCTTTCATTCATTCTGTGTGCCGTCTTTTGTCTTTGAGAATGTATACAATTGTACACTCTAAATCTGTGAGAGCTTCTCTTCTGCTTGGACAAGACTTGCTGTACTGCGGCTGCCTCAAGATGTTTAGAGAGCAGCTCTAGGTAGTAGAAGCTATTTGACTCTCGAGAAACTACCCAGTATTAGCCGTAGTACTCGAGAGATAATTGAGACCTTTTTCGAGTAGACCAAGGCTTTTTATACATTAATATGCCTCATTAGAATTAATATGGCACTTACAAATACAACTATCAACAATAATTGCATTATAACTATGGACTTTTTGCTAGTGTACATGTACTTTCAAGTCATCTGTCATTTTGTTTCTTTGGGGCAAATACCAATTGTTTTTTGTCTATGCAAGTAATTTAATTATTGTATTATTGTACAGGTTCCTCGTAGTTGCAGTTTACAGGATACCCAAGTTCGTAATTGGAAGGGTCACAATTATTATTCTGGAGATAGTCGTCAAGTATGTATTACCTTAAGTATGCCGAATTTGATATGTATAGTTGTGTGTTTACTATAAATTAACACCCATAATGTTCACAACTATTGCTTTGTCGCACCATGTTTTCCAACGCATTAAATTTTGTGGATTTTGCAAATATTGTGGCCTGAAATAGTAATAATTAATGCAGGGGGTCTCATGACTTGTGTCACTTGGGCAATTTTTTGTAAAGATGGCCTTTTGGACCATTTTCAGCCATTTTTGAATGGTGGGATAGATGTTCTTTGGCTTTTTTCAGCTATGCTGGTCCTTTGTCAAATCCTATACCTCAGAGAGCAATTGTGTCAGCTAAAAAGGGTGATTTTAGTCATGATTTGTGAAATTTTTTTTCACTAAAAGAAGGAGAGCTAGCCCTTGGAAAATAAATGCTCTGTGTACATGATTAGTGATGTTGAAGTGTAGCTTATTTGGTGGAATATAATTGTGGACTTTGATAGGTTTTCATAGAACAATGCACAGAGATGAAATTTCACCAAAATTTTAACCTCCAAACCTTTATTTAAGTCAATTGACCTGGTTTTTACTCCAGCTATACATCAGTTAGGCTTACATGTACTTCAATTAATTACAAACTTGTTACTTGCAAATGTTTGAACATCTCTGTCATTTATTCAGGTTACTCAGAGTAATAGCAGTCTGAAGCAATATGGCAATCAAGCAGATTCTTCTTGGGTATGTACAGTATTTTGTATTATTGGTATACCTATGTCATTATGTTGTTACTTGGCCTGTTGTTATTGTTGCATCAGATGCCTAGATGTGTACTGTAGTTCATACATGTACATTAGACTGTAAAGTAGAGTAGTACATGTAGTAGTAGTAGCCTGTAAATCTACATGTTCTACTTAAATTTTTTGTGCATAACCCAAGAATTGCTGTTATGTGGTTTGCCTCATAATCACTCGTGTGACAAAGGTTTTTGCCACAAAAACTTCCTGGCTACATAGTACATGTACATAATGAATTAGAAAATATTAATGCTTACTTCACAAGTGGGAACTGTGAGACATTTTGCCAAAGGTTTGAGGGTGTGATGTACGTGTAATGAAAAGTGGAACGAGAGGAAGAATATTGCATGGCAGTTGCCATAATATAGAAAAATTGTAGGCATTAACATTTTCCATTAAATAAAAGGACTAGTCATTCTTTTAAGAGTCTACATGACTCCTTCCTCTAGAAGCCTGCCCTCCTCCAGGCTTCCCATTATTCTTTCAGGAAAACTCCTACCAGACTTCAACCCTGCATTCATACACACTCCTGTTACTACTATTCACCCTGTTACTCCCTCTCACTACCTCTGTCCTCTGCAATTCCCTTTTCATC